AATTGTGTCAATACTACTATAAGTATATTATTGATATTAATAATATTAATAATTATTATATATAATTATGTTTCGGTAATGAATATGCACATAACTGACTTATTATTAATTTATTGGTAAAATCTTTATATCAAAATCACATGCCTATTGATAATTGATTAAGCATTTGATTAAATAAATACATATTCCTTTTTTTTTCTTTGTTATCTTTACATTTTAATTGTTTTTTACAATAATGTCATTAAAGAAACTTGACTCTTTACTGTCTGAATCCTCAATTATTTCAAAGGCTGAATCTTTAACATCATTAAATGACAAGCAAAAATCTAAATCATCAAGCTTTTTAAGTTCATCATTATGTGATGATTTTATTGACTTAACTGCTGCATCTAGTGAAGCATCCGATTATAAAATTCCTGAAATAGATATAGATGATTTAGTAAGTTTACTTAAATTAAATTAAATTAATTTTATTTATATAATAATATTTATAAATTTATAACTTATTATATATTAAGATGCAAGCTACAGATAATGAATTTGATATTATTAATACGCATAATTTTTTTACAAAAAATTTGTGTATAAATAAAATTCAACATTCTCTAATACCAATTGAATATCCTCCTACGTCTTCTGAAGACATTACAATTATTTATAATATTTTTAAATAGAATAATTATAATGTTGCTTTTTCAGATATAAGATTTAAATTTAAATATTATTCTACTATTTTTATAAGCAATTTATTAAATTTAATTTTAATTAGATACAATATAATATGGGTGATGGTGGTGGTAATAAAATTATAAAGTGTGAATATTTGGGATGTAAAGTAAATAAATCTGTTAAAATTTGTACTGGAGCTAAAGTATGTGAATTCGTATCAAGCGAATTAAAGGAAACACAGCATAGTGAAGTTAATGCTAATATTGATTTTTATAAAATTAATCAACCTGTTGATTTACAAACATTTAAAGAAGCTAAAACACATGCATAAGTACTATTTTTTTATTATTTAATTTTATAAAATTTAAATTAAATTAATTTTTATTTATTTTAATATAAAGAAAATATTTAGCTTTTGTAAACTTTCAATATCCTTATAATTTTTCATCTTGTATGGGTAAAGCTTAAATTTGCCATTATGGAAAAAAATCAGATGATGATATTCCATCATATTTTATTGAATGTACTGCTTGGGCAGCAGGAGAAAAACATACTCATCATCGAATAGATGAAAATGAAATTGATATAATTATATTAGAAAAATTATTTAAAGGCAAATCTGTAAGTAAAAATAATTTTTTAATTTTAATTTATTAGTTTATTAATTATTAATTATTATATTTATTAATTTATTAATTTATTAATTTATTAATAGCTTAATTTATATAAGCCAATAAAAAATTGTCACACAATATTATCTACAAGCTCCCGTAAAAAAGAATGTTGTATGTAATTAATAAATACTTATATTAAATTAGTATATTAATTAATTATATATTAATTATATAATTTTTATATTATATTATTAGCATTTTTTCATTTACAAGATGAGGGTCTTAATCGAAAAGAAAAAATTATTAAATTAAATTGTAATGTTAAATTTATTAAACTTGTTCCATTAGATCTTAAAACAACACCATTTGTTGTTTTAATATGTCAAGGAATTCATACTCACCCGGCACCACCTCCAGTTAATATTTCAACTGGAATTCAAAGTAATTTGAAACATATAATTAACGAAGCTATACAGATATTTGAAAGAGTTATACCAAAAAAAATTTTATCTAGTAATTTATTAAAAGCATATTTTGGTAAAGATCTTTATACTGAAATACATGCTTCTCTTAATAATTTGGATAAATTAAGATATCTTGTAAGCAAAGTACAACAAAAACAATTTCCTTATGAACAAGGTTTATTGAGAATTGCTACTGAATTTTGGAATGGAAATAAAGAATTTAATGGATATTTACAAGAAATTGGTATATTTATTTTTTAATATATGTATAATATTTAATTTAATTTAATTTAATTTATTTATATTTATTTATTTTATAGGAACATTTAATGATGAAAATATAATGGTTATTTGTATAAATACTGAACAAGCTATCGTATGGAAAGACTCTGAATATTTTCAAATTGATATGGCATTTAAAAGAGTACATGGTGATATAAATGAATTTGAAATTAATAGCTATTGTAAAAATTATAATCAAAGTATTGTAAAAATTTATGTTATTTTTGTATTTAAATATTAAAATATTAATTAATATAAATTTATTAATTATTATATTAGGCATTACTTATGCATGTGTTTATACCAATGGATCATTAGCTGAAATATATTATCGAATTTTTACAAGTTTATGGAATTATATTAAAACTTTAACTAATGAATCTCCAGCATTTTATTATATCCATAATAAAGGATGGAAATGTATACTTGGAGATTTAGATCAGGGCCAAGCAAAAGGCTTAGAATTAGCATTAGCAAATATTGAACCAAAATATACTTGGAATGAACATTTAACTTATAGATTTAAAAGTTGTCAAGTACATTTTTATCGGTAATTATATTTTATTATTATACTATTTTAAAATTATTATATTTAATAATTTAATAATTAAATTTATTAGAAGTATTCATAATTGTGAACATAATGAAAATACTAAACAATTAATGAAGGAAATTTCTAATGCTACTACAAAAACATGTATTGAAGAAATATTTAATATACTTAAACAAATTGATAATAATAAGCTTGAAGGTAATATTTATTAATTAAAATTTTATAATAAACTAATAAATTTTTAATTAAAATTTTATAATAATTAAAAATTAATTAAAAAAAATTATTTAATTTTAGGATGGATTAAATTTTATTCTACTGATTGGGTTATTGCATCCTTAAATTCTACCTTTTCTAATATTTCAGTTGATATTTGATATTCTGTTCCACATAATACTAATATATCTGAAAGCAGTCATGCAAGAGTAAATCGATATGGAACAAATTTATGTCTTCGTATAGCAATTCAAAAGTAACTTAATTAATTAATTATTTATTTATTAATCTTTATTTATTTATTATATGTTAAAATTATATTATTTTATTTATATAGAGGTTTTTTAGAAGATAAAAGAACTTTTCATTCAAGACAAATACATGATATTTCCGGTGTATTTTATGCTAGTCATGATCAAGGCATAGTAACAAGAACAATTCATTGTAGTACCTTTTATGGTACTTTAAAGTAACTGTGAGGTATGCTATAAATTTGGATACGGCGATACTCAGATAATAGTAAACTGGTACTCTATACCAAATAACCGTATATTATTAGACTATAATATCCAAAAAGAGTCGACTCTTCACCTTGTATTATGTCTTCATGGTGGGATACATATTGTGAATTATACTGAGAATACTGAATACTAATTATACTTAAAGTACTATTATATTTAAAATACTGAAATAAAAATACTAATTATACTTAAAATACTGAAATAAAAATACTAATTATACTTAAAATACTGAAAAATGTATTGTAAAGACCTACTGATAAAACAATAATACTTGAAGTTGAATTATCCAATACAATCAACCAAGTAAAACAAAAAATCAAGATAAATATTTAAATGAATTCCACCACGAAGACATAATACATACTGATATTATCAATTACGATTTATTATATGTAATGATTATGCATTTAATGTTTTAATAAATTGATGTGCAGAAAGATTTTATAAAGAAAAAGTAATTGAGTAATCATCTTGAATATGTTAAAATTTTATTTTCAGATTAATGTGGTAAAATTAAATATATGCATTATAAAAAGGTTGTTTTAAATAAATATTACAAGAATTTAATTCCCAAAAATATTCTCAAGGTTTTAAAACAATCCTCTATGTACTTATTTTCATCAATATACTCTAAAATAAAAACTTGTATAAAAAAAATAACTAAATATAACGTTCAATATATAAATTACGAGTTTTTTTTTTATAATGAATCTCTATAACAAAATTTGAATATAACGAACCACAGAATTTTAAACTTTATACTAGTTCAGTATAGAAAGTGTAGTACACTTCTTATGAAAACAGTAATACCAGGAACGTAGTAATGAAATTACGAAGTGTATGATTATCAAGCAACTAGAATAGCAAGTATACAAATCCGGTGTTTTATTGGCCAGTGATCACAGATATAAAACGTAAATGAATTTGCATCGATATGTGTGTAACAGATAAATATAAAATAAGACGTACTATACATACCAGGGTCTTCGGTTTTTGTAGCATTTAAAATAACATCACATTTTTTTATACGTACGTAGCATAGCTAACTATAGTAGGTTAGTGAAGTCATTGTCTAACACTGCAACCTGGTAATTTTAAATAATCGTCATTTTAAGAAGACAAAAATTAAATACGATTTATGATAGGATATGTTTTTTTGTATTATAAAGACATGGCAAATGTGAACTTCATAATTTTCGTCCTTTGCAATACAGCAATTATTAATCGATAATGAAAGATTCGAGGATTTTGTATTCGCTTTAAGATTTGCACTTTCATCGTTAACATTGGTTGGTTCTTATTTGAATTTATTGAATTGTTTTTGTTTATGGGGTATATATAATCAATTTGTCGTCGCGATATTTAAAATTTTTGACTTGAACATGTGTAATAAGTTACGTTTTGTAGTCTTATTTGAGGTTGAAGCTAATATTCATCGCGTTGCACAATTAGAAAAATCTCATGATTTTTTACAATTATTATAATAATTACTATGAATACAAATCACATGTTTTGAAATTTTTTAAGGTGGCTGTTAAATTTTACCCGAGTTAGGTTTTTGCTATGTTACAGAATTTAACAGAATTATCTAATGAACTAATTATACGTAAACATTTTTATTCTAAAAAATATAAGATAAGAAATTGCTTATCATCTTTTCTTTTTTTCTATAATTGGTGTACTAAACGTTAGGATCTCAATTTCATTCTTTTCTTCTATAGTTTCATTCTCTTCGTCTTCACTTTCGATTTCTTCATCTCCATCGTCATCAACAATTTTATAATATTTTGTACTTTTCGCTTTATGAAATAACCTTATGTTTACTAAAGTTTCTACAATTAGACTTCTAAAGGTGTGTGCAGTTTTGATTAATTCTAATAAACTTGAACCTTTTTTAAAAGGGATTTCAATACTCGCTAAACTTCTCATTCGGAACATTGGTGAATATTTTTTATCGGTAACTAAAAACTCCAACTTTGTTCCTAGATGAAAATTAAATTGATTTTTTTTTTAAAAAAAAATAATAATAGAAACTTTAGGAATTTTAGAAATACTAACCATGAGAATGCAATAAAAAGATTTTTAAATTCGTTGAATTAAAATTTGGTGATTTAGAGTAAGTTCTTGATATACTATCCAGTGAATCCTTTGCTCCTTTACCTAATTTAATTCTATCTTCAATTGAATGTTTATAAGTTTCATCTAAAGGCCCATAGGATATCTCACCAAGAATAAGTTCTAAATCATAATTTTCACTTTTGCACACACCAAAGATATCGTATTTTTTGACGGGACCCTTAACACCATTTCTTTCTAAACTCTCTTGACTAGTAATTGCATCCCTGTACAAATAAGAACAATAATAATAATTTTAATTTACTTTGTCCGACAAACTCTTATTATCATGAATTGCCATCTGTCTTGTTATTTTTTCACGTGTTCGATGTAATCATGTCTATTCAAATTAAACCTCAGTCGATGACTCCCTACCAATCATGATCATAAATTGCCGGATAATACCAATATTGGGCAATTTGTCGAATACGATAACTTGTTCAACCGGGCAAATGATTAGCACACGTGCCGCTTCGTGGCACGTGTTCATATGCCCGGTTTGCCAAATTACCGTTATTCAACAAATTTGCCCAATATTGAATACAGATCTTAAATAATTAAAATTAAAATTACCATCTTATTAAAATTTCTGATTCTAAATCATAATCAATAAAATCGACAATAGGTTTTAACACATTATGCCCCCAAGTAGATTCGTTTATATTTGGTAGACACGTTTGATATTCGGGGGTTTTCCATAATCTAAGTCTATAATTAAAATTCGATTATTGAAAATAACCATACTATAGCATAGAAAAATACGGTTTAACTTACATTGAATCAACTAGATTTCTAATTCTGACAAATAAAGACGCATCTCTTTTTGGTATTTCAATGGTTTTATTTTTATTTTTGATGCACTCATTAACAAATTGTTCTACGTTGTCCGGTAGTGACAAAAGCTCTATTGGTTCATTAACTGATTTCCACAACTGCGCCTTTTTCAAAGCTTTCATAATCAGTGATTTTTCACTTATTAAAGTAGGAACATCCAATATTCCAGAGAGAATCAAATCATTGGGGCTTAATGACATTTTTTGTAAAGTTCTAGCCACAATCTTTACGATATCATTTACATTCTTGTTTTGTAACTAATTTAATAATTAGTATTAATTTCGATATTATAAAAATATTAAAATCACAAAATTTTACATTTATGATTCGTGTCTTTGCTTCTATAAGGCGTAAAGGATCATATACCGAAGTGTTTAAAAGTTCGTGCCATCCCAGATTTTTGACACAATCTTCAATATATCTACCGAATTTTACATACGAATTTTTCTTTTGGGTTTCTCCAATTATACTTATTAACATTTTGAAATTGTTCTAAAAAAAATATAACCTTATATATTAGTCACAATTCTGCAAGTATATTTACTAGTTATTAAATATTATAGTTCAGTAATTAATGAATCAAATGTATGATCTCTAAAAATTATTAGGCCTCACATCAAGTAGCATTAACCAAATATACAGTTTAAAATAGTGCCTCACATCAAGAAGTATTTAGCCAAATATTTTACACTTATTCCAAAGAATTTAAATCTGTAGGCGCCTTACAGAAGTGAAGAAATATTGGAATACTCTTATGTAAGGGGTATTTTAAATATTCAGAAAATGAATTGTCTTATGCAAGGGGTTATAAATTCAAGAGCAATATCATTTGATATTTAAATTAAACATCAAAACATAGCGGCATTTTACTGTTATAAAAAAAAAATTATACTCGCCGTATATTCCTTTGCTTCTAATAGTTTTTCATTAACATATTCCTTGTTTAATTTTCGTTTTATATCTGTAATCGGATTTTTCAAATCGATTTTATTTGTAATAGCATTGAAAATATAAAAAGTGTATAAACTAGGTTCGAGATGTTTTTTCTTGATAAACTCGAAATAATCGGAATTGGAATTGTCAGTCATTTCTAAAGAGAATGAAAAAATAATATTTTTTTGATCGTGATTGTCAATCATTTTAATCTTGTAAACAAATCTGACTGGCTATTTACGTGATTAATTTAGATTTACTAACTGGGGGTCCCAGGGCACGCACTTATTTATGCGAGTAATACAAACCCCTAGAAAGGAAATGGCCAATCGGAGTGCACAAAATTTGATTGTTCTGGATCAGCCCAGCATGAATTCCGAACACGTGCGAAAGAAGAAAAAAGCGAAAAAACTCAAAAACTAGTGTTTAAATCGATCTTGGTTCACTAATTACAATTTTCAGAAACAAAATTTTATATATAAGTAATAACAATCTATTGTTATAGCCTCTAACGTTAATGCTCTAACTCTAAACTTCTATTTTTACGCACTTCAAAATTCGATTTTCTTTTTTGGTTTGTGTTGCTCGCACAAATAAATAAAATCGAGGAGCAGGTGCGTTTAGTATAAACTTGAAAATGATCTACATGCTGCATAAATTATCTTCTTGATATTTACATAAAACATTAACCATTACTGCATCAAAACGTAACCCAACTGCATCAAAAAAGTAATTCTAATGCAACTGGCTTTAATATAACAATCTATGGACAGTGCATAGGAGCATCTTTTCCAGTATCGCTATCAAAATTTTCACTTTTAAGTGACATTGTTTTGGTATACAAAAAAATTTTAAAATTTGTTTAAATTTAGATTAATGCCTATGATGAAATTAAACATTAATAAGGTTTATAGTAAAATTGCTTAAAGAAATTTTTTTCTTAATTTAGCTATTCCGCTTTTGTTTATTTAGAACCAAGTCATTCAAAAATCACAGTAATATAAAGATTACAGTTTCTTATCTATAAACTATAGTAGGTACAACTAGAACAAAAGCTTATCTACATGTTTTTAGACACCAAACACAATCTGCCTTAGTAGCTTTTGGCCTCTGGGTTCTTAACTTACTAAGAACTTTTTTCCTATTGTTTATCAGCTGGCAGCTATACTATTCATCAAGAAGCAAAATTGGAAAATAAAACAAAACAAACTAAAAAAAAATACAAAGGTATAAGGAAATGCAGTAAAAATATACAAATATAAAAGGAAAGGGATAGGAAAATATCAAAAAAAACAAACCAAAATAATTTTGCCTATCCTAATATCACTATTATAAGCCTGTAAATGGTTTATAAAAATTACATACTACTAGACAAACTAATCTCTACTTCTACATTTATCTACTCAGTATATCAAAGTAAAAACTCAATGAGAAAAATTTCATTGACTAGCTTAATCATAAAGAGGTCAAAGCAAAGTCTCGAAGCATCATTTGTACAGATATCTATTTTATTTGAGGCATGTATATACATGTGTTTGTTGTCATGTTCTGATTTGGAAAATATTAAAGAAATTTTTTTGTTAGAACACAAAAAGGTTATTTCTTATACAAATTTTTAAAAAATATACAATTTTTAAAAAAACAAATATTTTATTTAGTTCTTTTTGATCATATAATATTATATTAAAATAAGGTTTATTATTTGGATTTACTAACATTTTACTGATATATATTTTACTGACAATCATTTCTTTGATAATTTTTTTTTAGACAAATCTATTCTTTTGACAACTATTTCTTTAACAACCATTTATTTGACATAATTATTTTTTCTACAATTATTTTTCTGATTTAAACTACTTCTTCAACAATTTAAAAAAATGGTTGTCAGTGAAATGGTTGTCAAAGAAATAGTTTTGTCTATAAAAAAATTGTTAAAGAAATAGTTGTTAGTGAAATATATATCAGTAAAATTTTGGTAAACCCACTATTTGATAAATCACTATAGATCTTTATATAAAAGTAAAATTTTGATAGCAATACTAGGTGGATTATATCTATAGCAAACAGTCTATAGATATGTACCAATTAACATAATTTTGTATTATCTATTATAAATCTAAAACTATCACAAAATTGCTAACAAAATTATGATATAACTATGATAAAATTTTTGTAATTATAGAAGGATGTGGCAGCTTAGTAAAGTTGATAAATTGTTGCATCTTCAAGCAGCAAAACAAGAATTTAAATTCTACTAATAATGAAATTTGAATTTTACAGTATGTATTATAGCAAACTGTGTATAATCTGATAGGTCAGCATCTATAACGTTTGTTATACTAACTTGTATTAGAAGGCTATAGAACATTAGTATAATATATAAGTTATACAAAATCTGAGTAAAGCAGTCAAATAAATCTAAATGTTTGGATCACACAGAAGTCTGCTTAGCAAGTCTTAAGTAGTGTTTCGATTCGAAATCTGACTGTCTAAATTGATCCTTAATTTAGATAAATTCAGATATTCAGATTAAAGATTTTTATTCAAATTGGTCAAGAAATGTAAATAACAAACCTAAGAGTGCATACAAAAGTTGACTTTATATATAATTTAATGCAGATTCAATTCGAATTTAATAGAATTTAAATGGCTTGTCAAAAATAGGATCAAAACACTAGTCTTGAGTAGAGAAATAAGATAAACTTTCACAATACTATATAAAGAATCATCATTTGGAAAATTAGAAAACTGAATAGAATCAAGATATTTAACAAAAGCACCACACCAACTAAGTTACTAAGTAATCAAAAGAAAAGACCATTCTTTTAAACCATCTAGATTAGAAGTTTAACAAAATTAATAATATAGTAGATAGTCTATAAAGTGGATACTGAAGTCTGAATAAACTTTACAAAGACAAAAGTAGGTAACAGTAGCAGCTTTAGCTTGCAAATACTTGTTTTTAAACTCAATATAAGTTACTGAAGTTTAAATTAGCCAGATTGTATATATGGAAAGCTCTAGTGATGATACCAAAATAAACCAGTTCTAAGAAAATAAAAAAAGTATTTAAAACTTTCAACTGATAAATATAATGGAGATGTATTGATAATACAAGTAAGTTGTGTTATAGAAGATTTAAATAAATAATCTTCTAATCAAATTATAGATATAGCATCTAGTGTAGTTCTTACAGTATAATACTGATATATAGACTACTTAAATAAATAACTAAAAGTTGTATATGTAGTTAGTTGTATTCTCTAATATAATAGGAGATTTTGTTATAAGCCTCTTTACCTAAATAATTTGAATAAAAATCTTAAATCCAAAAAGATTAATTAACTAAAAAAAAAATTTTTTGCAATTATATAATAATTTACAACAAATTATTCAATAAAAAAACTTAACTTGGTGTAATATTATACAATCAAAACAATATCTATTTAGAAAAAACTGTTTTTATCTTAAAAATTTGTTTAAAAAATAATTTTTTTTTTTTATATATCTTTTAAGTTAAGGTCATGTTTCTGGTTTTTATTAACATATACTTATTTTAATAAGTTTTTTTTTTTTTTTTGATGTTAAAGTAGGGATGGGCAATTATATTATACCGTATAATAAAAATGGTATAATAACCTGTATAATTGGTATAATATAATTAATAAAATGCTGTATAATTGGTATAATATTTTAGTGTAACAAAGTTGGCCAATAGAAATTTAGATGAAATTTTTCATAAAAATAAGCAAGCACGTAACAAACCCATATATACTTTCTAGATATTTATTATACAGTTATTATACGGTATAATAACCTGGTTATTATACTACAATTTTAATTATACTGTATAATTCCCATCCCTAGGCTTAAATTATTTCAAATCAATTTATTAACATAGATATCGTACAATATCAAAATGCTTTGTGATAAAGTAATAGTAAGTTACTCACATATCATGTGTTTAGTAACCCACAAAAAAAACATTTGTTCTGTAAAATTAGCAAAGTATGGCCCATATTCATTGTTAAATGGCTCGAAGGGTGATAGTCTATCAGCTATTTCTTGAGCGGGTAAATTATCATCATCGGTTAATACATCATCACTATTAGTGTCGCAATTATCATCATCATCAGTTAAAACATTATCACTACTAGTTTCACAATTATCGATACTGTTCTTAAAGTCATCATTACTGATTTCAAGACCGTCACTGTGGAATGTAATGCTTTCAAAGTCATTACTATTTTCTTCGAAGTAATCGTCTGTATTGTTGTACTCAAGGCTATTGTTATTAATTGGTACTTCAAAATCTTCATCTTCGTTATTATTGCTTTCATAGTAATCGACGTCTTCATTTCTTTCTTCATGATTGTCATTGTTGCTTGTTAAAACTTCAAAATGATCATTACTTTCTTTAAAATTGTTATTTGCTGAAACATCTTGAGAAATATTCACTGCAAGTTTAACTTGCTTTTTCCTTAACAAGTGAGAACGTCTTACTCTACCCAGATGAATAGCAACTTTTCGTTTTAAAGTACGCATATAAGTCATTGTAAGAGAGATCAGAAGTTAAGTAATATCCTCAATAGCCACTTCTTATTTTTTATTAATTGTACAAAAGAGAGAGAGAGAAGCTATCTTAATTACTAATTTCTATTTATTTATTTATATATCGATTAATGACGTTATAATAAATAAGCTTTTACTAACTAGGCAATAAATAATATAATTAATGCACAATGATCAATTAACTATCTTGTACTACTATAGATTATAAACTAACTTTTTCGTAATTGGATGATCGCATAAAAATATGATTGGTTATATAGATTAATAACAACATGTGATAATTAACCAATAAAATTACATAATAACACTTATATCTAAAAGTAATGTTTTTCATAAACATACAGTATTGCAACTTCTATTCTAAACTAATATGGATTTATAACCTACAAAATCATTTGAGAGTCTTTTTTTATCTATCGTATCTGGGGATAATTGCGAATAGGATTTACGATTGTATCATGTGCAGATACAATAGACAAAAAAAAAGAATATTATAAAAGGCCTCTGATAGCGTGACTGAATAGGTTAGATAACTAAACAAAATAAAAAAATTGATTATTTAAAGGTGGGAAAATGTGCATTTGAAAAATGTCTAAAATTCACATGATTTGGATTTTTACTTTGCTAATTGTCCAAGTATTACTACTTCATAATCTAGAACTTCTTGTTCACAATCTAGTAAAGTATTTTTGTTGTGTTTATAGAAAGTTCACTCTAGTTTATTCGTACCTCAAGATTTTTATTTTTTTTTATTTTTTTTTTGCATAGTTATCGTCAGTGACTTTCCAAGTTAAAGATGATCTTAAATTTCGGTTTATATTTGAAATATTACATTTTTAAAATACTTTAAATTGTATAAATTCATTTGTAAGAAGTTAATTAATTAGAAAAAAAAAAGTTGATCAATATTATACATATTCTAGAATCGATGGAACCCAGAAATTATTGTATTATTAAAATTTTCATGTTCATTAACTAGCCGTTTATCTGTTATCTGCATCCGTAATCTGAATATTCGTTCAGTATATCCGGATGGCCTACGTTCATATCCATTATCCTTAATCATTATCATTAATCTAGAATTATTTGGACATCTATATATTAATAAATGTATATTTACTAATTACAGTATTTAAATAAAATATATTAATAATTAATTTGATTTAGGGTTAGGACATTGGCTTTAATTAGTGTACCAAGGTCAACTGTAATATGAATAATTCAGATAGCTTATCAAGATATAATTACTAGCTTGATTAATTTGAGATTCGAACTACCGCATCAAGTTCATCTAATCAACAATTTACAATGCGAAAGTCATTCTTTTGATAACTTTTTTTTTTTTTACAAGAACGCCTTAATTACAATGCATAAGTTTAGAGATTTACCATCATAAATATTTATTGCTAATGCATATTACATTATTAATTACTATTTTAGCTTTAAATAATTTGTGATCTATTTTGACTAAGTTAGTAAATCAATTCTTTATGATAACGATCTCGACGAGCAGTCCCACTTATACCACAAAGTACATGATCATGACATTAGTGAAAAAGTGTCCAATCTATAAATTGCAATTATCATCTAATCTTTATTTACTTTTTTTATATTGCCTAGCTCTTTCTTTAGAAGTGCTTTAAAGTCTGCATCGTTGAGATCCAACACGTCTCCAGCATCGTAAATATTATAATTCAAAGTGATATGGTTTAGATCTGTGATTTTAACAAGCTTGTTTTCCAATATTTCTTCAATCATTTTCAAGAGACATTCAAACATAAATGTCTGCCACGCCTTCTTAAATTCAGGAATAAATGTCGCTTCTTCATCGATTACCTCAAAGAAACGATTGAGAAATGATTTCCAGTCATCTTCCTGAAGATAAACCTCAACATCGGCTTTTTCAACATGAGAAAGAGTTTCTATTCTATGAATTACGGTTTAATTAATAAAATTTTTTTTTATGATTAGAACTTGAAACTGGTTTTATTTCATGTTAAATCAAATTTTACAATATAGATATATAAAACTGAATCACTTACTTAAAATCCTCAATGAAATGTTTTGCGACTTTTCTGATGCTATTTCGAAGTGCATCTCTGTAGCTTCGATATGCCGTGTTGGCAGCACCTTTCAAGACTGAAATATCTTTATGTGAAAATTTTTTGGAAGGAAAACATAATTTAATGCATCTAAGAATTATTGTTGTTGTGAGATACCGCGTTCTAAAAAATAAACATTTTAAAAATGCCTGAAACGTCATTGATTCCTAAAATAATTTGTAAAAATTAATAAAATAAATAAATTTTGCTATATGGGGACTCCCACAGCAAAAGGGTGCAATGGGCCAAAAAAAATTTTTTTCTAAATTCAATTTTTTGAAGAATTAGAACAATCAGTTTATAAAATTACAAATTTAAAAATTTTGGCCTATTGCACCCTTTTGCTGTGAGGGTTCCCATATAATAAAAAACATCATACTTGTTGAGTAAGGATATTGGTTCTTTCTTCATTGTCTGACTTTCTAAGGCCATCATACTACATCATCTGATTTGCAATTTTAAGAAGCTTTGGTTATTCAGCAACATATGCTGCAGCTTCATAATCAGTATTGAATAAAAGAGTGCTGCGGTTATTTGATTGAGATCTAAACGTCGATATCGAGATACTTGTGATCGAGAACTAGAGCGCTGTGTATGAAAATGCTGTAGATGAGTGCGCTTTGGTGATTTAGAATAAAAATGATGTAAATGGGAGCGTCTTGGTAACCGTGAACGAGAAAGTCGAGAACGTCTTGGTGATCGTGAACAAGAAAGTCGAGAACGTCTTGGTGATCGTGAACGAGAAAGTCGAGAATGTCTTAGTGATCGTGAATGAGAAGGTCGAGAACGCCTTGGTGATCGTGAACGCGAAGGTCGAGAATGCCTTGGTGATTGAGATCGAAAATATCGAGAATGTCTTGGCGATTGAGAACGAGTATATAGGGAACATATTGGTGATTGAGAACGAGAATGTAGAGAACGTCTTGGTAATTAAGAACAGGAGTGTAGAGAACGTCTTGGTGATTGAGAACGAGAGTGTAGAGAATGTCTTGGTGATTGAGAACGAGAGTGTTGTGACCGAGAGCGAGTATGCTGTAATTGAGAGTCCTTAACATTGTTGTTCAAAGATAATTTATTAAAAGAATTGAAGTCTTTATTATTAACGTATCCAGGATCATGGCTTTTGATATTCTTGTTCAAGTCACCATTAGTCTTATTACTTTTAGTTGAAACCACTTTTTTTATGCCAGAAGCTTTAGGTGTCTTTTGACTTGCGGGCGTTTTCTTAGAAGTACATTAATTTTGTTTTACACTAGTTTTCTTGGGCATTATAATAAGTTTTTTCGAAATACACAATATGATTAACCACTAAAAATTAAGCAGTTTGAAAATAAATTCATTTTATAAGCATAGTACGTACTATTTATTTATTTTTTATGACGCATAAAATCTGATTTATATGCATGATTTTTTCAACAAAGAAGTTTTATATAAGCTTAGTGAAATCGATGCTGCAATAGAATGATTAGTAGAGAACGTGCAATGTATGATTGAACGAATTAACTAAGTAATTATGCGAAATTTCAAAAGGATCTTTGAATATGAGTAATAAAATGTAAAAATTTTAATGACCAAAAATATGAGACAGCCTAGCATCATCCATAAAAAATATAGCTGACGTCATATATTCAATTGTATTCCAGTTAGAGGTGCAGACATATTGTCGTAATTAGGTCGTAACCTAATTACTTCAATAAAAATAATCTGTTTTAAAATAGGTCGTAACTGATTGCGACAATATGTCTGCACCTCTAATTTCAGTATTTATATATATCATATGATTCTTAATTTACGAATATATTATGAGTGTCGCTAAGAGAAAACCCAAAAATTTAAATATGATTTATATTTAAATTTTCGGGTTTTCTTTTAGCGACACTCATATACAATATGTATTATATTTACAAGTGATGTCAACTATATTTTTTTTATGGGCGATGCTAGGTTTGCTAAAGTATGAGCTGAAACTTATGAGATATTAAAGTCAGAATTTGGGGCAGAACTTTAAATGTCTTATATGATGATGATATACAAGAGTTTGGATAAAATTTTAAAAATATAAAATTTAATAATTTCAGAAGATAGAATTCGCTTTGTCAAAGTTTAAGTGCATATGTACTTGAATTAAATTAATTGCGCTATATGTTTATACAGTGCCTCTACTCCATGTTTATATATTGAAAGTCACCAATTTGTTACTACTGATAGAAGATAGAAATAGTAATATATCCAGTAATAATAATCTATAAGAGAAGTATCTAAAGTTTTGGTTTTTAATTTATGTATAATATAGCAATTTCATAACAACTTTAAAATCGGCACTTTGAATCTATAAGTAGACTTCTATTAAATCCATAGAATAGTTAAATTTGATGCTTCTAAGAATATGGACGAGAAAGCCCCTAGCTGTCCCACAAAATTTTTTCCACCCCTTGTAATAACGACCAATCGAGGATCAGGTGTAATGTGAAAATCGAGACGAAGCAAAAAACAAGAATAGCTCTAAATTTTAATTAGGAAACCGCCTTCTGTGGTCTAATAAAAAATGGTCCTTGTAAATTTTACTTGTAGACATCACATTTTCCTAGTCCTACCCCTAACTATAATGCGGTTTTCTTAACTTTAATTTTGTATATAACTTTTTACTTAGAAAACAAAACCCGTTTGTTTTAACTATCACATTACACCTGATCCTGAAATTCGATTGGTCGTTATTACAAAGGGTGAAAAAAATTTTGTGGGACAGCTACGTACGTACCTAAAATATGGACGATTGTGCATCATATCGGTATTAAAAATACATACTAAAAATAGGTTGGGTTATATATTACGATCTGTAAAAACTTGTTTGAAGTATGCACATATATTTATATAATTAAATCAGCTTATGAGAATTATACTAAGACGAATATTATAGCGATACTTTGTAGTATTAAATGAATTGAGTAAATTCCTTTTATTTCTAACTTTTTATGAAGATTATTTTATTTCACTTAACAAAATATATATTCAAATTGAAGTATTAGGCTTGTAACAATGATATGATTAAATTAATTAATAATATTTATCAAATATAGCTAGTTATACAGTATTATTTAATTCTATTTATTTATTTTAATTTAGTAAAAATATACTATTTAAATTTATAGCAAATAAATTTAGTATATTTTACAAAAATTTAAAAAAATTGATAATAAAATAAAAAAGATAACTAGTTTAACTAGAGAAAATTACCTGCACTAATTATTGTTAGAGTTAGAGTGTAGGTTTAGAGTTTTTTTATATAATATAATATAAAGTATATATAAGATCCTGATTTCAGTTTTCATAAGGTTTTTAAAAACCCTAAACATTTTTACTTTGAGTACCTAATCCTGTTTACTTAGTATGTTTTTGATATAGCATCTCTGGTAATTTCTTTTAGTGAAAATTAGCAATTCTTTAAAATAAAAACATTTTTAAAATATAATAAATATGTTTTATAAATAAAAACATCTTAATAATGTGTTTGTAATAAGTTAATAATATAATAAATATTTTTTATAAAATTTTTTTTTTAAAAAAAATATAATTAATATGTTATAAAAATTATTATAAAAACGTTTTTAAAAGATATTATAATTACAATATTTAAAGTATTAAAATAACATTATAATAATAATAGTAATATGTTTTAAAAATATTTTTAAAA